GATTATACTAGTTGAAATCGGATTTTAATCTGTAATCGATTTTCAATTTCTTCAATTGATTTTTAAATATTCTAAATTGATTGAAATCTTCGAGTATAGAGGAGTACGATTGAATCACAACTTGATTCTTTTACTTATATAGTGAAAATTTTCTCGTTAAAAATATTATCATTCTCCAGGAAAAACATTGAAATTAGCAATCCAATTATAAATATTATTTTGCCGAAGAACAGTCACATTCTAATCGTGAAAATTTTCATTATATAAGCAATAGAATGCTACTTTCGTTCAATCATAGTCGGCCATAAGAGAAGATTTCAATCGATTTTCATTTTGATATTGGTACAAAATCATTTTAACTAAATCCTTAAAAATTTTCGTTGCGTCAAACATCATCAAAACCTCACATCCATTGATACCGAGACCTACGACGAGAGAGGATACTTCTCGTACCCTAAGGATATCATCTTCATCCAGTTCCAAAGTAAAATAAAAACACCAAAGATCCCTCGAGAATCCAAAGCAGACGACGGGCGCCACTTCTCATACTTTACTTAGATTATGTTGATTGACTATAAGGCTGAAATTCGAAAACGGGATTAAGACATACACGAAAATGAAAAATTCACAAACTGATGGATTCAACCAAAGTACATAATGTAGGCCACTTCTGATATTCCAATCCTATTACCCTGAATCAGTGTAGTACTAAAATCTAAAAGTCCGATTGAGTCATAGGGAAAAATCAAACATTCAAAGATCGAAAGAAGCAATCAAAGTACACAAGGTAGTCGACTTTTGGTATTTTTATCCTATTATCCTGATTGAGTGAAATAGTAAAATCCAAAAATCTGATTGAGTCATAGGGAAAAATCAGAAATTCATAGATCGATGGAAGCAACCAAAATACACAAGGTAGGCCACTTGTGCTGTTTTAATCCTATTATCCTGATTGAGTTAAGTAGTAAAATCCAAAAATCCGATTGAGTCATAGGGAAAAATCAAAATTCATAGGTCGATAGAAGCAACCAAAGTACACAAGATGGGCTACTTTTTGTACTTTAATCCTATTATCCTGATTGAGTTAAGTAGTAAAATCCAAAAATCCGATTGAGTCATAGGGGAAAATCAAAACTTCATTGATCGATGGAAGGAACCAAAGTACACAAGGTAGGCCACTTTTGCTGTTTTAATCCTATTATCCTGGTTGAGTTACGTTGTAAAATCCAAAAACCCGATTGAGTCATAGAGGAAAATAAAAAATGGACTGATCGATCGATAATAGTAAAGTTGAGGAAGAGTTTCATATGTGACACTGTAAGCGTATCATTTAGATTGAATTTAAGGATGAAATCCAAAAATGCGATCGAGGCCTATGACGGAATGAAAAGTGGCAGATCGAGCGAGAAAGTCAAAGTGGGGGGGCGGACTGGATAGGGCAGAAGGGCTCGATTTAGATTTTGATAGCATGGAGTATGGGATGGCTTTTGAGGTGAACCCTTCTTCTGTGATTCAACGGGTAGATAAAGCTGCGTCGATGTTGAGGAAGTGATTGGAGGGTTTCCACTGGAATAGTTTGAAAATAGAGGAGTTTTCTCTATAGGGTGCGTTTTGAGTTAAGGGAAGTTTTTCTTTGGTGGGTTATGTTAGCTGCGGTTTTGGCAGTAGCGTCGAATGATGTTCGTATTTGTTTCTATAGAATTGTAAAGTGGGTAATGATTTAATACTGTATTCGAGTTTGATTATGTGTGGGATCAGGGAGACTTAATGTGTATTTTTTGCGTACGGAGGGACGGGGTGTGGATGTGTGTGGGTCATGTGGGTGTGGGTGGGGTGCGGGTGTGGTTGTGGGTGTGAGTGTGGCTGTTGATGTGGCTGTGGATGTGCTTGTGGGTGTGCGCGTGAGTAATGTTTTCGTTTCTCCCACACCCCTACCCCCACATCCACACCCCATACCCACACCAACACCCAAAAAAAATAAAAATAAGATAAAGAAATTTTTAATTAAAGGAATAAAGAGATAAACTAACCTATGTCCAATAAAAATAGCTTTCTTTAATTGATAATAGTCAAATATAAGTTGAATTGAATGAATAGTTTCAGACATATTTGGAATATCTTTAAGAGATGGATAACGCATACATATACATCGCATTGATATTAATATAATACGATGTCGTCGAGAAAATTCTTTATGAATACGTGCAATAAAAGGTTGATACATTATAAGATCAGCACCAATTCCATGAAAAAAAATTATTGGATCTTCTTCTTCTTCTGCATTACATGTTTCATCATGATAGGTCCAAAATGAAAGAGGACCTATGTGCATAAATTGATATCCTCTTAAATAAAAAATACTTGAAGAAATAATTCCATTCAATAATGTATTTGTAAGAAAATATAAAGCTAATGGACGAAAAATAACACGAACAGGATCAAGAATATGTTTCATATGTGATATTGTATTAGTTACTTCATCATCAGCTATTCTTAATTGATAATCAATTTCAATTTTTTGAATAAGTGAATAAAATTCTTCATATTCTTTATCATTTAATTCTTGTAATTCTTTTGAATAAAAAGCATATGCTAACCAACCAACTAAACTCTGACGATCAATGTTATGAAAAGGACAATCCATAAACCATTTACTTAATATATGTCGAAGATTTTTTATATTTGAAAGTGCATTTGAAATAATACGATCACGTTCAATAGATGTTAAATGAGATGGAGGAATTTGATGTTGAATTTTTGAATATAAATATGATTGATAAATAAGAAAAATAATTTCTATAATTGACCATATTGTTAAAAATATTCTTAAATATGATGATGATATTGGTATAATAGAAATATTCAAAAATAATATTTGTATTAACCAAATAATTGATAATGGAATAATTGATGATATAAAAATAATTAGTAGAAAAGAACATAATGCAAGAAAATGACTAGATTGATAAATTTCTAATAAACGATTGATTAATGATCGATCAACAAAACGAATGGTGGTGATTTATTTTTTGCACATTATGTTGTAAAAATCTTTGGAAATATACCTGGTCAAGAACGTCAATTGTGGCATCAGGAAGATATCACCTACTTACCTATTACAGTAGTTGTTCCATTACCCGATAGTTTAAGAGGACATTTTGGTGTTCGTTGTGAAATTAATAATACATTTAGTGGTACATTATTTTTTAAATCACATGGCACATGGTACTTGGAGACAAAAAATTTATCAACTCAAAATAAAACTATTCCGATCCGCCGTAAGTAAAAAAAATCGAATAAAATTGATGACATATTAACACACGATTTTTAGGAGCAACAGCGTGATCATGATATAAATTGTAGCCAAGGAAACAAAAACAAAAACAAAAACAAATGCATTTCTTTTCCAAAAGTTTATTGTTTTTTTTATGCTGATTCCTGCTACTTGTTCGTCAGATTTAATTTCATTTTTCTGACTTTATCTTGTTTTATTTAATAAAACAAAAACAACAAGAAAAATATAATGATGTACTAAATTATTATGATTATTATTATCAATCTATATGATATATGTGTTGTGGACTATCCAATATATTATAACGAGTACACAGTATCAGATTTTTTTCTACTTAATTTCTTTCTGAGAAGACTTTACTTCGAATATAAGAGTAAAAAAAAATCGCAAAAATTTGCAGAAAACTGTGTGATATGACACACAAAAAAAAGGAAAACAGACATTGTTATTGTATATCTGTTGAACTCTGAAGCTGACGAATAAGAAAATAATATCGTCTCATAGCGATAATTGTTGATAGAAAGAACAATAATGCTTTGTACTGTTGTTTACGAAGATGTATAATAAGAATGATGCATAACATAAAAATCGCTTGATATTAAAACAAAATATGATGACAAAATTCGAGGATCTGTCCGTCGAGTTGTTCTACGAAATATTTATTTATTTCCAGTTTCATGAAATACTCAATATTTTTTCTAATGTTAATTCTCGATTTACTAATATCGTTAGAAATATACCATTTATTCGCGTTTATTTGGGTCTGAATGGGATGAGTATAGCAGTAACTGAATTCTATAAAATACATTTATTACAACAAAATATATATAGCCGTCTTATATCATTATGTGTCTCACATACATTAACTATTGATGATGGCTTATGGTTAGCATTAGATTTATCTGCATTTATCAATCTTCGTCATTTATCTCTAATCGATATTAAACGTTCTTGTTTTGAATTGATGCTCAATACGTCTTCACCCAACACATCTCTTGTCATGTTTAGTATACGTTATTCAGAATTCTATCAAGCTGCATATACATATAAAGGTGTACCTGAAGGTGCATATTATGATCGAATCTTTTGTTTATTTCCTTTATTACGTGTATGTCACCTTCGTTTTTGGCGGTATGTATACGACTCTCAAGTTAGTCAAATAGTTCTACCACTTAATAAAACTTTTATACCGATTGAAACAAATCTTTTGAATTTACAATCACTTGTACTTCGAGAATGTTCGCCAGCCTTTCTGTTACATTTACTTGGACATCATCCACAATTGCAAGAGCTCAGCTTTGATTTGTGTACTCCTTGGCTACCTGATAAACATCCACTCATCAATGATTATAACAAGTAAGTTTCTCTTGTTGAAGTCAAAATAAACATTATGATATATATAAATTTATTCAATAATATTAACATAACAGATTATAATTGACAATGAATTGTTTTGTGAATTACTGACACCATTTTTACAATAATATGTTTTTCAATCAACTATACAGTGTTTAATTATAAGATGATAATTTGAAAAAGTTCTATGTTGTTTCAAAGACTCATGAAGGAACTCAATGAATATGAGAGATGAATGTAATGAGAATTAAGCAACAGGTTTAAATTTTTGATAACATCAAAATATAAATTATGATATTTTTTTATTACGAAAGGATAATCAACTGATATCCAATCATAGTAAAAGCAGAGCTGAGTTTTTCTCTTTTATATTCGATTTTATGATCGTCATACTTTTCAATCTTCTCGATATGTATTTAAAAGAAAAACTCTTCTCATTTGTTTGTTATTCAAATCACATCGATTGACCATTGTTTTCTAATCTGAGATATAACTAGAACATATAAGAGTTGAATATAAAACTTCAAGATTAGAAGGAAATAAAAATTCATGAGGGCTTGAAGGAATAGTATAATATATTTTAAAATAAAGTTGCAATATCGGAGCATTCTCTTTTGAAAAAGTCACTAACTCTTTACCCTCGAAAGCTAATCATACAAAATGAGCTTAAAAAAAATCATATACCTTTACAAAGTCTTGATGAAAGAAAACTGTTTTTAAAACAATAATCATTGAGCTTTAATACCAGCTTACGAGAGAGAGAAAAAACTTGTTTTTTTTGATACAAAACCATCCTCATACAGTAAGTCAATGATGTTCATCTTTGTGAATATTTGATAGTAAATGATTAAATGAATTTCGATTGTCTATGAAAATTTTCTCGTAGTAGTCGCTAATTATTTGTTATAGTTTTATTAATGAATTTGTTTTGGATTTTGTTCATAACTTTTTCTGAAAAAAAAAATATTTAGTTAAACATTAGTCAAAGAAAAGAACACCTGTCATATAAGTGTGAAATAGATGCAATTAGACGATGAAAATGGATGTGTTTAATAATAAGTTCATTATTATCATTATCATAATGATACAATACATGATGATAAGATAGAAATTTGTTGTTGTATACAAAATTTTCATCGTTTCGGCGTTATGAAAAGAAAAGTATTTTCAGTATAAAAATATACAAACTACTGTGCATAAATAATTAAAACACTAGTACTGTATGATATGGTGTCAATGAACAATAGAAAAGAGTATTTTTCAGTAAAAAACTGAAATACTATATCATCTATTTATGATTATTTTTTTTGTTAATCTATTTTAGTCGAGTTTCTCGTATTGATAAACGTCTAGTTCCCAATCTGCGTCGTCTTAAGATAACATTAAACTATAATAGTTATGCTACGGAACTACTTGACCAATTATTTTATCATGATGTTTTATATTCACTAACGAACTTCACATTAGTTGGTATGGTGAATGAACCCTATATTGTTTGCAAGTTACTATCAATGCTTTGTCACCAATGTTCATATAGGTTGGCTGTTAGATGGATTGTGAAAACTACAATATCATTTTCGAACACAAGTATTATCTTGTTAAATACGTTACAACAACTGAAAGGACGAATACCAATAGAATTAGAATTATGTTTATATGAAAACAGTTATTCTATTAGTGCTTTCACATTACCACGAATTGACAAATCTTTGGATGCTTATAGTTATTTTGACAAAAGTACTATTTGCGTGTATGTATCATTTTGAATTTCTTTTATAAAAAATGATGTTTTTTCAATTATTTAGACAAAGTCGTTGGTCATATACTGTGCCGACTTTGAACAATCGTTTGACATATGTCAATAATATTACATTGAATGGTAGACGCTCTCAAATTGACAACGAATTTCTCTGTTACTTACGAACTATTATTTCTTGGCATCAAATCATTTCGCTGACAATCGATGATTCATTTGACCTATGTCAACTAAGTTTGATCTTATCAAAAATGATTCATTTACGTAGTTTAGAACTTCATTATCACTTCAATTATAATGTTGATGATGATTGGAACAATCAAAATTTAATGAAACTTTTCAATGATACTTCTTTGTGCAATATACTCATGTCAAATGGATTACAAAAACTACATCTTTATACGAATTGGGAATATCCAGATACTATAATCATTGCTTCTTTAATTGTGAAACGATTACCACATCTGGAAATCATCGAGTTAAATTGTCATAATAGTAGTCAAGTTCCTGAAACATTACATATATTAATGAACGGTCTTCCGAAATTGAATTTTATCATTTTTCATGCTTTTTTGACTGGTGAAAAGCAACAGGAGTTAAAAATGCAAGATCTTCAGAAGCATTGTACGCGTACTTATAGAATTGAAGATCTTGAACCACTTGCCGATATGACAATAATTCATATATGGCTTTAATAACTCTAAACTATTAAATTTCTGTATTTATTGATAGTTACTTTTTCGTTCTAAAACTCTAATATAGTGGTTGACTATGACTTATTAAAGAGATAGGAAGGACAGAAACATTGAAACTTGTTCAATATTAATACAAATCTCAAAAGATGTTTTTGTTATTATTGTATTTGATAAAAGAAGCAATCAAAATTTTGTATTGTCATCATTAGATTTATTAATAATTGAAGACTTAATAAAAAAAAAACAAACTTCGGGAAAATGAATATTCTTTTTATAGAGAAATTTTCAGTTCATTTTTTGAAATATTATTATCATCTTTATTTAGTTTTTTTTTTATATAAAAGATATGATCATATTCGGCATTGTGAACTATGAAGAACAGTGTAATAATAAATTTATGCTTAAAATAACAAAAATTAGCAGTACTCGAAAAAAGAAATTACTCAGATTGATTTCTGCTTTTCATTCAGTTTCATTGACTTTTGAATAACTTCATAAATATAAACTTAAACAGATGTTGTCAACACACTAAAAATACTCGTAAAAGTTTTTGTTTAGAACCTAAATAAAGATTATCATAATCACTTTGAACTTCAGACAATATCATGAGATTAGTCAAAAGTCAATGTTAACTTGAATCATCGATAAATGATTGTAAAATATTAATATTGATTTTATATTTTTCTTGTTAATATTTGAAACTTGATGTAAACAAACGTGAACAAAAATTACTTTGAAGAACTTGGGTGTGGGGTGAGTGGGTGTGGATGTAGATGTTGTTTACTTACTTTGTGCCCACACCCACACACCCGGTTCAGTTCCATTTGGTCGACAAGTCCTTAATTGGTCCCTTTTCGTCGACAGAATTTTTTTTCCCGTTTTGTCGACAAAAAAAAATTCCCTATTCGTCGACAGAAATTTTTTTCCTGTTTCGTCGACAGAAATTTTTTTCCTGTTTAGTCGACAGAAATTGTTGTCCGGTTTGGTCGACAGAAATTTTCTTCCTGTTTAGTCGACAGAAATTGTTGTCCGGTTTGGTCGACAGAAATTTTCTTCCTGTTTCGTCGACAACTTTTCCTCCCTTTGATATAGCGCATTTTAATAATTAATAGATTGGTCGACTCGTTAAGAGACAGCTGATAAAGAATCACAAGAATCATCGTACAATTTTGATATTCGATCTAGGTACCTAAATACTGCACTTCTTTTATTTTTTGTATGACATCAGATGCAAAAAATTAGTACAAAAAATTATGATATTTTTCTTACTGGTGTCAAATTTTCATGTATCTATTCTTTTAAATGTGTTATAAACAATTTTTGTTGGACTTTTTGATCCTTTGGCTCATGATTGTGTCGAGTAGTTGCAACAAAAATTCGATCACCTTTTTGAGTAAAACGTCCTGGATATTTATTTCGATTATTGCAATGCCATTAAGCATCGACATTACGAATACGATCACGTAAGTATCGATAGCCATTGAAAATTAAACATTTTTTACCTTTTCTAGATTCAATTATTGTATATATTTTAATTCAAATATGTGGAATATTAGTAGAGATAGAAACAAAGAATATCCAAGTTATTGTGGTGGTTTGTTTTTTTTCATCATGATTCATCCACTTTATGTAATCAATATGATCTTCTCTAATAAAAGTTAATCATACTAGTCTTACTGATGTATCGTTATTCGATTACATCGATTATATTGTCACCTATAAAACACTAATAGTGATCTATATTTAAAATAACCTTCCACCTTTCAAAATAAGTGAATACTCGTTATGCAAGTGACTAGACTACCCTTAACTAGTCGACCAAATTATTAATTATTAAAATGCGGTGTATCAAAGAGAGAAAAAGTCGTCGACTAAACAGGAAGAAAATTTCTGTTGACAAAACGGGAAGAAAATTTTTGTCGACCAAACAGGATGAAAAATTCTGTCGACCAAACAGGACAAAAATTTTTGTCGACAAAACAGGAAGAAAATTTCTGTCGACGAAATAGGAAAAAAATTCTGTCGACGAAAAGGGACCAATTAAGGACCTGTCGACCAAATGGGAGGATACCCACACACCCACACTCCACCCACACCCTCACACCCACACCCACCCCACCACCCACACCCCACACCCTAAATGACTCTTTTTCATGAACTCGAATCAACTTCTTTTTTTCGGGTGGTGCTGTGAGAATGTAATCGCTAGACATAGTAATCGAAATGATAATTGAAAGAATATCATCATTCATATCATTTTCATTAGCATAGAGATTAAGAAAATAAATCACGGGTAATTTAAAGTAACGAAGAAAGAGTAGATTTTCGTTTGATATTATTGCCAGACGATGTAGCGTTTCATTGTTGATGTTTTCCAATGCGGACGAAGCAATTTTCAACTTCCATATTATTGATCCGTGTGCTGCCGATTGACGATTTAAGTTAGCGAAAGAGTCATAATTATCTAAAAGTGTTTGAAAGTTTTCTCGAGTAGTAATTGGTTCTTGTACTTCTTTCAAAAACGTTAAGAATTCAATTTCATCACTGATTTTGTATAAAGTAAATAGATCGGATGGAAGTTTGAAACGTTTAAGACTGATTGTATTAGGTCCTGTTTCGATAAGATCATGTAATCCTTCAAAATTATTCGAAATATGATCATAGTTTTCTTTAAGAACTTTAATATTCTCTTCTGACCATAAATCAACTAAAAAAATAACGCCGTTTAGATGGATCTTCTATGAAAAGGTCTTCTTTCCACGCATCTATCCAACACTGATGACCTGTGAGGCCAGCAAATGATTCGAATATGTATGTGTTGGCAATATCATTAGGTAGACGATCTTTATTTGATATCCATGTCAGTACGGACTTGTTCACCCTCTGATCAATCTCGTTCTGATCCTCGGCAGAAAATGAACATGTTCCATTCGGAAACAATGAGCAATACGAGAACAATGTCGAAGACCAACTAAATCTCGTGGTTCCCTATCAATAGTTGATCAAAATTGCTCAATACATGAAGGGGATCGTTTTAACTCGAAGAATAAACGAAATGTATGTTGGATACGATGATTATATTTTTCATATGTTATAAATTGAATAACTTCTTTCTTTTGATCATTTGAATCGAATGATTCTAACATTCTGACCATATAACGAGCAGAAAGATATTCTTGAAAGGTGCGATGAATGAAATAATAGATATTTTCGACGATTAAAGGCGAAGGGTTTCGTGTTTGAGGTATAAGTAAAACAATTTGTAGTACGGAGAGACGTAGTGGACCTACAACGTTGGTTATTTCTTTTCCAGTAATCGTGAATCGATGTTCTTTTGTTGCATCAAATGCCAAACATTCCAAACAGGCAAAAGCTATAGCATTGGGTTCTTGATAAATATTTTTTTGAACGAAAGCGGCGTTACACAGACAATGAAACTTTAGCAAATATTGTTGCAAGAGATGGTCACACATTTTCTGATAGAGTTCTCCAATAGTCATTTGAACATCTAATTTTACTTTTCCTGTCTCCCATAAACTACAAATGATTTCGAGACATGCAGGAACACGTGCTGTTTGTAAGAGGTTTTTAGAATTACTAATAAATGACCAGCATTCCCTGGCAGTAGTTCGAAAGATATACGAAAAATAGTTGTATATATATTTTTCAATATCTTGATCAGTGAAACTTAAAATCTGAAGTTGAATATCGTAATAGAAATCATATGTTGCATACGGGCGAGATGTTAGAATTAGATATGATTTGTCAAATAATTCTTGTTCGATCGGAAGTAAATAAGTTGGAATCGTTCGTTCATAACATCCATCGAGAATCCAAAGAATATCTGATGAATTTTCAAAGAGATTTTTTAATTTTTGTTTGTCTAAATGGGGTGTGGGTGTGAGTGGGTGTGTGTGGGTGTAGGTATTATTCAACACTCACACACCATCCACACCCACTGACACCCTAACCCTTAAGCCACACCCACACCCACACCCTTTCGTGTATATTTGGTGGATTTTTAGAACTAGGATTGTCATTACGAATAATGAAATGTGTTTGACTAATACGTCGAAATGAAACACAAACAGCATGTTCTTTCCAACCAGTTGGAATAGTATATTCATCATTAATTTCAAGCTGTTTTATTTTACTTATGAGGTTTTTTGCGATTTTTCGATAATATTTCATTAATAATGATTGTGACGATTTTATCCGAGAAAAACTTTGATTCATCATTGGTTTAGTAATATTTACTGGAATAAGTAATATTCCAATAATAAAATAATATGTTTCTAAATTATGTAAAAGTTCTTTTTCAATAATTTCGATCATATGATCATCTTTGTTGATCTTCTTATCAATAATTGTTCGGACGAGAGTGTAAATACGCACTTGGAGAAATATTTCTGGTCTAGATCCATCACTTAAACTTCGTCCACGATGAGAGGCATTATCTATATCACGAAGAGCAGGAATAAGATTATCAAAGACTATTTTAGTATGTTCAGTAGTAATACGAGTATAAAGAAGACGACTTACAGTATAATCAAAAAGTATTTCATTTCCTTCTCTATGTAATCGATCATAATGATTGATATAGAATGTCCAACGTTTTTCAAGTTGTAATTTTGTTGGACTATTACGATGTTCATAAAGAAGAAGAAGTTCCTCGTGTCGACCGAGTTTTGCAGCCAATTGAATAGGAGAAATAAATGTGTTAATTAATCGATCAAAATGAGATACATTGCGATGAAAATATGATAAATGCCGATTAAAATCAGACAGATTATTATTAAAACAAGAGAAATTACAATCGACGCATTGTTCCACTAAATTTTTGACCATTTCTGAATTGCAATTATTTTTAAGTGTGTTATATAATTGTGTTTCGAGTGTTTCATTCATATAAGCAAAAAGATGTGTTGTTGTTCTTCAACATAAAACAGATGAAATAACATCAAGAAATGTCTACGTTACAACGTCTTTGCATTTGTGTTTTCTTTCTTTTTCTCTAACTCAACATGCGCTTGCTGACGACATTTTTTTTTCGATGATAGGCAAATAAAAAAAGAAGTATTGAAGGTATATACGTGCATGGATTAAAGACGTTGTGGGTGTAGATGTGGCTGTCGGTGTAGGTGTGGGTGGGTGTGTGGCTGTGGATGTCGGTGTGCGTGTGGGTGTGGGTGATTAATTGCTCTATATCCCCACCCACACCCACACCCACCCACCCACACCCACACCCACACCCACACCCACCCACACCCATAGCCACACCTACACCCACACACCCACACCCACACCCACACCCACCCACCCACACACCCACACCCATACCCCACACCAATAGATGCCACAAAAGTATAGGACTTGAGGACCTATGGTTGCCATCATAATAGAGGATTTCCAGGCCTATAGATGCCCTCATAACATAGAACTTGAGCAGCTATGGGTACCCTTATAATAGTGGACTTCAGAATCTATAGTTGCCCTTACAATATAGCAACTGAGGACCTATGGCTGCCCTCAGAGTATAGGACTTGAGGACCTATGGTTACTCTCATTATAGAGGACTTGCGGACCTATACATGCTCTCATAATATATAACTTGAGCACCTATGGGTACCCTCATAATACAGGACTTCAAGACCTATGGGTACCCTCATAAGAGCGGACTTGAGGAGCTATGGTTCCCTCCTAATATAGGACTTGAGGACCTGCTGGTAGCCCGAGAGTATAGTATTTGAGGACCCGAGGATACCACCAGAGTATTGGAGATGAGGACCTATGGGTACTCCGTACTATTGGACTATATCAATCCCAGTGAATTCTTGGTCAGTTCCAGCCAAATCCAATTCCAATTCTGGATATGGATTTGACTGGAATTGGATTTAGTGCATATCTAGTCCCATGCGATGCCCCCCCCCCCCCCCCCCCCCCCCCCCCCCCCCCGGCATCCGCGCCGATGCCTCTAGCATCCCAGGAAATGCTAATGGCTTTCTAGGCGATGGCTCTAGCATCCCACGCAATGCTTGTAGCATCCCAGGTAATGGTTTCAGCATGCCAAGTGATGACTCTAGCAATCCTAGCAATGCTAGTAGCATCTCAGGTGATGCCTCTAGCAACTCAGGTAATGCCTCTAGCATCCCAGGCGATGCTATTAACATCATAGGAAATGCGATTAGCATCCCAGAAAATGCTACTAGCATTCTAGGTGGTGCTATGAATCATCGCAGAGGGACTGAGAAGAAAAGTGAGCTCCAAATTTGGAGTTTGCGCAATTTGGAGCTCACTTTTCTTGACCTCTTGAAAATGGTACCATTGGATTCAGCATGAAATTCTGTACCTAACTCAACCCGATTTAGACTCAACTCAAATAGTATAGCGAATCACGTCAAAAGAAACCGAATATGGTGCTAACTTTATCGACGTATAGATTGTTCACAATTTTCCATCGCTCTGTTGAAAATTTATCAATAGTTAATTGATTAATGTATCAGTTATTAGTTGTTCAGAGGGTGGAACATTTAAAGAACGCATTATATTTGTATTACGCAAAAATTAATTAGATATTTTTAAATATTCGTCGAATCTCATTGGGTCGCATTTGAAACATTCAATTTGTGTTCAGATTTAGATGTTTTTTGCATTTTTCTCCAAAAAATACTTACCGCTGCCGCGATAGTTATTTCAAAGATTTACCGCGGTCGCGCCGCCATCGACATCTCTGGGTGAGAGTGGTGGATGTATCGTCACTCTCACTATCCGCGAAAATTTGTTGTTTACTCTTCATCTTTGTGAATGACGGCTCGCATATAATATTGTTTTTTCCTTTTTCTTACGGCATGTTTCAATTAGTCGAAATTCTGTTTTTCGCTCTCTGTCAGCAACTTGTGTGCACATTTTGTTTTTTTTTTCTTTCCTTATATAGTTTTTTACACTACTGTAGCTGTTCGTGTCTATCTTTGCTAATCGACCAGATCATTACTTTAAATGCCAGCCAAAATTTCTTCCAATTGACAATTGATGACATTTGATTCCATCTCAGTTAGAACAAGAGATTGTCCATCATAAAATTGCGACTTTAAGTGTTTGAATAATTTCAGTTATTTCAACAGTTACTAATTATTGAAATTTGTTGACGTCTCATCATAAAGCTCGGCGTAATAATTATTGAGTCTTGTTGGTCACATAATCAATACTTGACTACGAGATGTTATCGTCTGAATCGAAAGGAATTTCTGATGAGAAGCAGATCTTATGTTTCGAACAAGAAATTTGCGTTTCAATCTGGCTTGATCAAAACGATCTTGCAAGAATCGACGATATCGAGAAGGCGAAAACAGAACTTGAGCGGATGGTGAATATTGTTGAAATATTCGGTAATGTGGACCAATGCGTCGATTTTATTACGGATAGTCAAGACTGTCAAATTTTGCTGATAGTTAGTGAATCTGCTGCTGAAAAAATTCTGTCAATACTTCATGAGGACAACCAACTCAAAGCGATTTTTATATTTTCTTCGAATCGATTAGCGAATGTGTCTTGGATGGAGAAATACGACAAAGTTATGGGTATTATTAGTAGTGTCACATCAATATATCGGTTGCTGGAGGCGTGCAAGCACAATGATAGTGTTGAATTCAATTTTATGAGCAATGTTCCTACTTCATTGACAGATGTCAATCCAGAAAACCAGCAGGACGTCATGTTTATGTATGGCCAACTGCTCAAATACGTTTTAATAGAGATGACTTATTCAGAAAGTGATCGGAATCAAATGTTCGACTTTCTTCGTAGTAAATATCAGAATCCGAAGGATATTGATAAAATTCATGAATTTCAATGCCGCTATGATCAAGTGGATCCTATTCATTGGTACACGAAAGATTGGTTTCTTTACAATGACTTGAATAAAGCATTACGTGACTATGATGTTACCTATTTGTATGCAATACGTGTCTTCATCAAAGATCTTCATCAGCAAATTGTTCGTTCCCATATGAAATCGAAAGAATCGACGATTTTGAAACTTTATCGCGGTATGAACATAGCCACAGCTATTTTTGATGAAATGAAGATAAAATCGGGGAGACTATTATCTTTCAATTGTTTTCTATCTACCACAGCTAATAATGAGGTTGCCATGATGTACAGTGGAGCTCTAGGTAGCTTTCCTCATATGACTTCAGTGATCTTCGAAATCGATGTAGATCACTCAATATTTACTCCTGCCTATTATGTCGAGATAAAGGATAAGAGTCAATTCAAAGACGAAGAGGAGTTTCTCTTTACAATGGGCAGTGTATTTCGTATCCAATCGATTGAACCTCTCAATGACGGTAATATTTCGCGCATCAAATTACTATTAACCGACGATAACGATGTGGAACTAACACGACTCACTAGTTTCATGCGATCAGAGATAGAGACTCCGAATGAATTGTCTTTTATTCTACTTATGACTACGTGGGGTAAATACGAAGAGACCATGAAGATCGGTCAGTTAATGATTCCAACGGTTTCTCAAGAGTTGAAACCAATCTTATCCGTCACATTGGCAGGCATCGCTTTGGAACAAGGAAAGAGAGAAGACGCCATGGTTCAATTACAATCATTATTCGATTTTTTAGATGAGCGATCTCTTATTTCAAGAAATAAAACAATAGCTAGTTTGGGCGAAACTATGCTCTGTTGCATGCAGGGTAAATGGGATCTTGCTGTAGAAAATATCGAGGAAGTGTATGGTATCAAAACATCTCAAGCTTCAGAATATGAACCAATATCGTTAGGAAAAGGTTACTTAACAATAGCCACGATCCGTTTTAATCAAGGACGTTTATCCGATGCTGTCTCCTCTGCGATCAAAGCATATGAACTTCTCAAAAGTAGTGTGCCAAGCACACACCCATACCTTGCTTCATGTCTCCAAATAATTGCTGCGATAAAGTTTATTAAAGGTCATTTGGATCAAACATCTGCCATATTAGAAGAGATTGTCAAAATTCGACAGCGTTCGCTACCACCAGAACACCCGCACAGAAGAATGATTGAACTGGCAACTGAATACTACAACTTTTCACACGGTGATAACTTTCATTCGGAATCACAAAAAGAATTTTTGCAGACGATTTCCACACAGCTACGATCCAGCATCGTAAGCAATCAGCATTCATTATTGCTACAAGGTATTGCATATTTTGGGGAAAATAAGTTTGACGATGCCTTATCTATAATTAATGAGTATGTCGAAACAATACAAGGAAAAACTTTCCTGCTGAATCAAATTCAATGGTCTTATGTGCATTTCATAAAAGCGGAATGTAATCGTAAAAGACAAGAACTAGAAAAAGCCCTGGAATCTTACAACAAAGCCTATGAAGCCTTAAGGGAAAATATTGACGAGTCATATCCATATGTGGCGAAGGTGTTACAACAAATCGCCAGCATCTATGCAGGACAGAACATGTTTGATGAGGCATTTGCTGTATGGGAAAGACGCATAGATAGGCCAACAGGCATTTCAAGAGAGGATGTCAACACTTTCAACAATACTCGCTTGCAGAGCATCGCCAACACATATACAAAGCAAGGTTTCTATTACGAAGACTGCGAACAGTATGAAAATGCCTTAGTCAGTTTTGAAAAGTGCCTCGAAATTCAAAAATCTTCTCTGTCCATAAACTATATTGGCATTCAACGCACTCATTGGTTTATCGGACATAATTACTTAACACAGAAAAAGTACGACAATGCCTTGGCTAGTTTTCAAGAGTCGCTAAATATTATACAATTATACCACCCAACACGTACAAACGATTTGATTTGCGCTTACAAAGATATTG